AAAGGTAGATGGGAAGGGGAGACTCTACCCTTTAAATCTCTTATTTTTTAATCTCTCTAATTTAGGAGATTTGAAAGAATTCAATTTAGTTTTTTCTTTATGTTTTTACTTTTTTTTAAAAGAAAAAATATAATTAAAATTTTTATTTTAACTTTAATTTTAAAATATAAATTTATAAAATTTTATTTAATTAAATGAAAAGAATATGATATTCTCCTCCCCTTCTTTCTTCTTTTCTTTTTTCATCTATTCAAACAAAATTAATATCAATTCTTTTCTTTCCCTCCACTCTCTTCCCTTTCCCTTCCTTTCCTTCACTTTCCTTTACTAATTTTTATCCCGACATAAGCTTAATAATTTCTGTTCATCAGTTGCTTCTTTCACACTACTTTTTTATTGTGTGTTTTGCTTTTCCTTCTTCTTCCTCTACTTTTTTTCATTTTATTTATGCCTCTTGTACGCATCCGGATTGATAGTTTGTTGCTGCTTTAATTTTGCTTTCAAAGAATCCACTTACAATGGGCATTAGAGCATCACCGTTATTCCTACGTGCCTCTAAAATGCACTCCCAACTACCAATTTCTTCTCTATATTTCTGAAGTTCTTGTTTTGGAACTTTTGTTTGTCTGTACTCTGTTGGTGATTAACATTATTGGCACTAGTTGGGTGGACCTTTTGCAACTACGTGCTAGGTCCCAGAGTCAAACATTTTATACTTTCATTTAATTCAAGTTCAAATTTAAACTTGATTGTGTTTCTTGACCCAAGTAGTGGTGTTGTGGTTTTTGTTTTAAACACTGGCTGCTTATTTAAAATAAAAAATAACCCAGAGGAGTAGAAAATACTCGGATTAGAATATTTTCTTTGATACCCCTTTGCAACCATTTTGCCTCATATGCGTAATTGCCTATCTCTAGAAATTTCTCCATTTTTTTTTTTGTCATCTGGGATGCTCTTTATTGTTTCATTTTCTTTTTCTTCCCAGTATCTGGACTTTCTGGAACCAAAGAAACTGCTCAAAGTCAGGTCTCTGTTGGAATAGGGTTGCTTGCTGGGTCCACTGTGATGCTTCTCACGGTTATATGGGGTTCTTGTGTTGTGGTTGGTAGGTGTGATCTTCAGGATTCAGTTGCAGTTGATGGAACCAATTCAAAAGGATTTAGCTTAACAGGTGAGTAAAAAATACTTCAAAAACAATTCATTAATTAATTATCTACTTGATGAGCTGTTTTAGCATACACGCTGCAGAATCTCAGCGCATATTACAGAACTCTCATTGAAACTTTGAAGGGAGGCTATTAATTGGTAGCATCTG